TCTGAAGGGGTTGACGTGTGAACTCTTCAGTCCCGGGCTGGTTGAAGCCGAGGTGCAGGTGGGCAGCTGCAGCCTGCAGCTGCTGTAAAGTTGCTGCCCCTCGCTTTAAAAACACTCAGCTGATCTGTCGCGGTTTTGTTGCGCTCGTGACGTGAACACATGGGGGAAATGCTGCGAAGTGCTTTTTGAAATATAATAAATATAAAAACACAACGTAATCCTCGGTGGAAAATAGTCCAGGAAACGTGTGCTTTCCCAGGAGGTGTTCCCCTGAGCTGAGTGAAGCTGACCCCCCACCCACAGAGAAAGAAAAAAAGGCTGTAATTATTGATAAGGTAGTAACCATGCTGTGGCTTCACCTGTCACATTTTATTTTAAAGAAAGAAAAAGTAGCTTGCAAAGCTGTCGCATTGGTGCTACGTGATTAAAAGCAGAGCTGCRYRTCTAATCACACACACGTCTTCCTATCTTTGTGAGGACCACACACAGCGCTCAGCCTTGCTCTGCGCCATCTTTTTTCCCCAAGTTTGGTGAGAGGTGGATATGGAGGGACGCAAAAAATAGCTCTCGACTTGATCTGGCCTTATTTAAATAAAAATGACTACATGCCGTGAAATTCTTAGTGGGGCGGGCCATCTCGTTGGCGGTGGGGTGGGGGGGCTGTATAATGGTAGGGGACACACTGTTAACCCTAAACCCTAAATGTCTAAAAGCAAACATTGTGAGTGGGCACAGGCATCGGCGAGACTAGGAGTGTTGAAAAAAATCAATTCTTAAAAGGATCGAGATTCATAGTTATGGCGATTCTGAATTGATTCTAAACTTCCACAAATCAATTTTAAAATGCATTTAAAGTTTGTCAAATCAGAAAGGTAATGTAATCTGTACTGTAGATTACGTTACCCTTGCGGCCACCGTAGAAGGCGGTGTCTCTACTAGCGGCGCTAAGTTAATTAGCCAGCTCCCTTGCTTAATGGAGTCTGTTAGCATGGAGCAGGAGGAGAGCTTGATTCAACCCGCTCCGTCGTCGCTAAAAGCCAGTGTTTGGACACACTTTAGTTTCTACAATGCCCCTGGGGAAAAAGAGCTCAACATGAGCACAGTTATCTGCAGGCAGTGCAAAATGAAATTGAAATACTTTGGAAATGCGACAAATGCCCGTGCGCATTTGGCGTGACATCACCCCGAGATAAAAGATGTCGAAAAGCGTCCAAAAGCAGCCGACCAACGTACTCTGGAGCAATGCAACAAACTTCCAGCTATCCATCCATCCATCCATCCATCCATC